TTATCTGTTGTATACTGGCAGACAGGAAAACCTGGCAAAGCAGACTAGAGGCTATCCTTACCCGGTTTTGTTTGGGATCCTGCCCAGACCCTGCTCCTCTCTTTGTGCAGAATCTGCTCACCCCCACTGACACCCCATGGTGTTGTCATTAGGCCTGTGATTTGAGTCTAGCCCTGCAGGGAGGGTTGCTCCTGTGAGTGCCCTTTGGAAAGTGGCACCTGTATAAACAACCCCATCTCCTGTTGTCCTCTGTCGCATCTTGGTGTTTTTTGACACAGTAGACAAGCAGTTAAGGGAGCTTTCTAAACAAGTGTCCTCCACAGAGGTAGAGCTGCTGGAACTGGCCTAGCCCCCACAGTCTACCGTTGGGTTTATCTTCCCAGCTGAGCTCACAGCAGCCAGAAGCTGGAGGGCTGAGCTTCAAGAGTGCAAAAGACCACTGTGGAGCTGACCACATATATGGACAGAGCTCTGAGCTTTTTTAAAAGTTCTTTCTGGGGTAGTTGATTCAGAGGCTAGAATCTAATCCTAAATGACTTTAGTATATTGTGGTGAGTTATTTTAAAAATGTAAGAATTTTGGTTTAGCAGATGGCATAATATCCAGAAGTTAGCAGATCTCATTTCTTTTTAGATTACTGCTCCATTTACTTTGTCCCTAACTTGTTTATTCATTTCCCATTGGTAAGATGACAACAGTACTAAATGTCATTTTCTTATATTTTCTGTGGCTTGGTGCATCTTCTGCAGCATACCCTATAAAGATTGGACTGTTGATATTCTCAGGGTATCCCAAGAGCTTGAGCCTGAGATTCTCAGTACAGGTTTCCTTCATTGTCCAAAAGTAGAGTGTTCCTATGAAACTGTTTGTAGGCCAAAATGGCGCAAAGTGAAGAAGCAAATACTATTAATTTACTGGGGAAAGTTTTTGAGCATTCCGAGGCCCCAGAAATAACCTCTCTCAGGCTTTTCTGATACCTGAGGACACATCTTGTTAACGGATGCACAGAATAAATTGAGATAAAGCACAGATGCTCACAGACATGTTCAAAGCTATAGAGCTTGGTGCTGAGATGCTAAATGTAGTTCCAGGGGAAGGAGCTTGGGGACAACCCCTCAGGCTGCACGAGGCACATGCTGCCTCCATAACTACTGGTTGTAAAACAAATGATGAATTCTTGTTTTCGCTTTCTGCCTTTTTTTCATAAGAGCAAAAATCTTTTTGGGATTTCTTTCAAGTTCCCTGGAGCAGGTACAGGTTTCCCCTGCTGTCCAAAGGTAGGGAGTTCCTGTGAAACCTTTCTTTAAGTCCAGCTGGCTTATAGTAAAGAAGCAGTTACCATTTTGTAAAAGTGAATCTTCCTCGGATTTCTTTTGGTTAGCAAAAACAGGTAGTAACGTAGGTCCTTTGTAAAAGCGAAGTGGTGTAAAGTGAACTTTCAGAATGTAGGGGATACCTGTATAATTTCGCTTTATAGCAACTTTGTGGAGCTTTGCAAATGGCATGTTCTCTTGAAGAGTTCTGATATATTCAAGAGTGCTCTTTAGAACCAATGTCCTTAGTTCCTTGAAATTACTCATCTGATAGACTGTAGGTGCTATGTAAGCTTTTTAGTTTGCTGTGTTTGCTGCATTCCAGAATTCCATTGCTGTTTATTCCACTTAAAGACATTAATTAAGGGGCACCTGGCTGGCTCAGAGGAACGTGAGACTCTTGATTTTGGGGTCATGAGTTCCAGCCCCAGGTTGGGTGTAGAGATTACTTAAATAAATAAACTTAAAAAAAAATAAAGAAATTAATTTAAAAATGTATTTATTGTACTTGTGTTGGTGGATAGGGGAAGAACCAATTATAAAAGGCCCCAAATTCTAGCTTGTTAAAATGTAAATGTCCCTAATGAGCTGGAATGAGGCGGTTTTGCCAGAGGGGATCTGAGAACATCTTTGGGCATGGTTTGCTTGTTTTCTTAAGTCAGGATATGAGTTACGCGCGCTTGTGTGTTTGTGTGTGTGTGCGCGCGCGCGCATGTGTGTTGTTAAGAAATATTTTAAATATCCTTGGTGTTCTCTTTCCTTGAGTCAGAAAAATTTCACTCGGTGTCTATACGGTATGTAGGCAAATTTCAAGAAAGGGAAAGATAGAAATTTATTAGTCCAGTTACGGAGATCATTATGTCTGGTTAAGGACTCCTCTCAGAGTTACTGCCAAGTAAAAAAATATGCTGGAAGATTATTCTGACAGGTATTTGTCAACACTTTAATAAGATCACATGGCTTAAAAATAACCCAATGCTCAATACTGCACTATGCCCCTCAGTTTAGGGCATTATATTTAACATGCCTGGAGGTTGGCCTGCATTTTTAGGTGATTTGATCTTATTTTTACAAAATCATAATTAGTAATATAAAAGAGATAATGCATGGGAGACTTTGCCGTGCTTCTTATTGTCTTATCAGTGGTATTACAAAATAAAAATTAGTTTTCATCAAGAAATCTGACAAATCATTTCTGTTTCACCAAAGCCATACATGTGGTGTTAATTTTGACCTGATTCATAGGTCCTCTGATACCCTAACACACAAAAAGTGTGTGTAAAATAGCTAGACTTACTGGCATTAGCTTTCTCTCGCAGCTCTTGCCAACAAAGAAATACTATGTACTAAATTTGAATCTGGTTTCAAAACAAATGTCAAAATTTTAAAACACTGGATTTACTGGAACATAAAGAACGTATTTAATGAAGCGATTTCTCTTGACTGCCTTGTTACTCTGTCAGCATATGCAGTAATCCACGTTGCTAGTAAATTTCCATTTTAATACACGATTCCTATCTTTCCTTCATTCACTAATGACTGATTGAGATAGAGGATGGAAATTCAGCCTTCTTATAAAATCTTTTAATTAGCACATCGACTTATTAATATTAAAAATTACTTCAAATTCCAGAAACAAGGTAAATATGAGCCTGGACTCTTCAGAGGGGAGAAGTTGCTATCTGTGATAAGTAGGCAAGATTCAGTCTTATTTGTGTCAGTTAGGTATATATTAAATACCCATCTTCACACTCTAATTGTTTTTAGCATTGTAGAATCTTTTTTTAAATAATTTTTATTGTTATGTTAATCACCATACATTACATCATTAGTTTTTGATGTAGTGTTCCATGATTCATTGTTTGTGCATAACACCCAGTGCTCCACGCAGAATGTGCCCTCTTTAATACCCATCACCAGGCTAACCTATCCCCCCACCCCTCTCCCCTCAGTTTGTTTTTCAGAGTCCATCGTCTCTAGTGGTCCGTCTCCCCCTCCGACTTACTCCCCTTCATTCTTCCCCTCCTGCTATCTTCTTCTTTTTTTTTTCTTAACATATATTGCATTATTTGTTTCAGAAGTACAGATCTGTGATTCAACAGTCTTGCACAATTCACAGCGTTCACCATAGCACATACCCTCCCCAATGTCTATCACCCAGCCACCCAATCCCTCCCACCCCCCACCACTCCAGCAACCCTCAGTTTGTTTCCTGAGATTAAGAATTCCTAGCATTGTAGAATCTTAAACTTGGTATACTTTGGGAAATTTTTAGGTTTGAGGGTTGTTGGAGGATAGAGACAATATATTAACATAAAAATATGCTGTTCTGATTTTGAGGATGATAAAGCCTTTGACCGGGAATAAAGTAATTTTATGAAATTATGTGCTAGAAGTTTTATTGAATTAGTTTGATTAAAAGAAGCTGTACACCTCAAAATTAAAAGAAACAACAGTATTCAGGACCTTTAGAAAAGCAGATGGAGAATAGTATTACAGTCATTGGAAACTAATTCTCTATTTTATCATATTCTGTGTGGAATTTGTTTTGCCTTACTTCTTCTTATTTAATAGCCTACCATGAAGTTTTACTTATCCCTTGAGTTTCTTTTTTCCTCAGGGTTTAAATAGGGAGGAGAAGTTAGAATGAGGGTGAGAGAGAGATTACTGGTAACTTTTGAATCCCTCTGAGTGCCAAGATTATGCCAGCCACTTTCTTCACATTTGGAATAAAAACAGTCTTAATTCCTGTTTTGCAAAAAGTAACTGTTCAAGATCACACAGCTAGTTAGTGGTGCAACTAGACTTTAAACCCTGTCAGTTTAGCACCAAGCTCTGTGTTCTTTCTTCTGCAGTGTGCTTCTAAATGTATGATTTCATAGAATCACAGGTTGCTGGTACTTCTCAGGGAGTATGAGTTAATACTCTCTGATGCACTTTATATATATAGCAACTATGTTAATATGTGACATAACTGGAAAGTACTAAATACAACATTTCTTTAGGTGTGTTCTGTGGGGTATTTGGTTAAATCATTTTAGAAAATGCTTGGTTAAATATAATGAGATTTCTTTACTGCAGAACTTCTTAGAGTCCTTAATATGCTAATGTGCATTGTCAGTCTTGCGCAGTATTTCCCCAAACTTATAGACCTTTTTTTCTAAGAGCTGTCTCGCCCAAATAGTGTTCAGGAGAACTTAGAGTACTGTCTAGATATAGAATGCTATGTCTTCCTTCTTTACTCTTTTTTTCTTTCCTGCTCAGAAAGCACCTAATTGTGTCTTTCAAGGTTCCTTTTGTTGAAGATCACGTCAGCATTTCTAATGGTAAATATATTAATCTTTAGGTGCAAGATTAAATATCTGATGACAACAGTATATATGTAAGGAGCTCATTTGTCATAAACTGCTTCTCTGCTTGTCATGAAGTTGCTAGGTAAAATTATTATGTTATTTCTTTAGAAATAGGCACTTACACAGGCCTGGAATTAACTGATACTTTGGTTTTTGAAGGTAGGTATTTACTACCGTTGTATTTTCAGAGGTTCAGACGATTGTCACTATACTTTAAACCCAAGTAATAATTATAAGCTGGCTGCAAGATGAAGACTTATTCATTTTTAAATTACCCTTTAAAAAGAACCACATCCCTCCTTCAGATGAGTTGGTAAAATGAAATAGTACTTACTGCCCACTCTGGACTCCCATTTTTCATCTACACAGAGACTCACTGTTTGAGGTTGTTAAATGGGTACTCTATTTGCCTAGATGTGTGGGCATGAAAGAAAACAGAGGGCTGAGCTTCGAGGTTGATCTTATACAAGGAACCAGCCTCCTGCAGAGGGAGGTAAGCATTAAACTGAAGAAGCAGGGTAAAGAAACAGTTTTTGTTAGGGCCATAGTACAAACACTGTTCTTTATGATCTCAGCACTCAGGCACCGTGTGGCACAAAATAGGCACTCAGTAAATATTTGCTGAATGACTACAACAGTAACTTCTTCTTTCATTCTGTATCCTGAGGTTATGGTTCTGGGGAACTCAAGATCTTTTCTTTTTTAGGTTAACATTTGCTTGGTTTTATGCTTAAGTGTTTTGTCTACATTGTCTCATTTAATTCTTACAACAACTGAATGAGGTACTTTCCCGTTTTACAGATGTGTAAACTGAAGTTTGAGAACATTAGATACTGTGCCCAAAGACCCTTATTTCATAACTAGTGGAGCCTAGAATGAATCCAAGTAGGTGGATGCTGGTACTTGTAGTTTTAACCAGTATCCTGTGCTACTAGGTTTCTCTACTTGCCTCTGTAGTGATTATAGATGGAATTTCAGTTCTTATTCCCAGAACTTTTAATAGTCTAGTGTTTTATTTACATTGGAAAGAAGAAAAATCAATGTATGATTCTGACTGGGAAAGAAGAGCTGCAGGGAAAGCCAGGAGTGTTTTCTCTGTGACATCACAGGAAGTTACCATGGAAATGATTATGGTATTATGAATACAGAATTATAAACTTGAATGAGAAATAAGCTGCCTAAGGAGATGAATGATGAAAAATAGCAAAGTTGTTGTCACGACAGTGCCTTTCAGGTTTTAGATGAACAAATTTAGCAACATGAGGTCTAAATGCCTAGTCCCTCTCAGCATTCCCAAAACATCAGTGTTAAATTATTCTTTTAACTCTCCCTGGTATTGTTACTACTTTTGGAACTTGTTGAAAGTAAAATAATTCCCATGTGTGCATATGTGTTTTTAGTTTAGCAAATATTATTGGTTTTTTTTTTTTTTTCCTGACTCCTCCCTGCCTAGCTTCCTCTAATTCCTTCTTCAAGATACTCCCAGTGGAGATAAACTGTTTCCTGGTTTTTGCATCAACACATTCCCTGTAGAGTATGTTAGCACTGGTATTTGTTAATTGTTAAAGCCAACTCTGGCAGTTGGATGGAGGGGGTGTAGTTAAAAATCAGTGTTATTTTTCCAATAGCAAGTTTAATTTCAGATTTCATCGTTTCAGGAAATGCAATCCTTTCCAAAAAATGCTTGTTTAAAAAACATTGGTCATGTACTTTAAACTTAGTCAAAGAAAATTGGAAGTGGTGACAGTGCTCATCATCTTAATTTCTTTGTGTTTGGAATCCTTTAGTGTTTTTATTTATTTAACTAATATTGTGTCTGACTTGCTCCAGGGCACCCTGAAGACTACTGTTATTGTCATCATTTTGCTTTGAAAGGACTGATGATTCTAGACAGGAACTTCATAGTTGTTCTGGCCCCTTAAGCTCTAGAAACTTGTCCATTTACTTACTTCAGTTAGTGCCACAGATTACTCTGGGGTCCAAAATCTCTTTCTTTCCAATCTATTCTGGGATCTGAAGTATTTTCCTAATCTGTGATTAGGAGGAAACTAGTGAATAACAGTGGAGCTTTCTTTTCAATGAAAGGGAATTTAAAAATGGTAAAAGGAACACAGAGAGAGTTGAATTGGGCACAGGTTATATGCCAATGTATCAGTCAAGCTTGACACATATGAAAGACTGTGTAAGGTATGTGTGTTACGAAGCTTACAAGTAGACTGGTGAACCTACCACCCAACTTAAGAGTCAGAACATTACCAATACCAGAGAGGTTATTTATATGTTCATTCACTGTCCCTTTCCTCTTTTGTTTGTGTTTAACATTCACTTGTCTTGTAAAAAGGGAGTTGTGTAGTTTACCACAGAAAGACAGGTAGTTTTGAAGAAGTAGTAACATATAAGCTGTAGCAATTTGTTTTTTTCATTCAGTGTCATGCTTCTTATTCATCCATGTTGTTGTGAGCTGTGGTTCATTCATTCACAAGTCAAGCTTGACATGTGAATTTCTTTACCAGTCTTTGACTCACGGCTTAATTAGAAATGTTTGAAAATTTTCCCAACATACGGAGATTTTAAATTTATTTTTGTATTATTGATTTCTGACTTAATTGCTTTGTGATTTGGGAATGTAGTCTATATAATACCTATTCTTGGAAATCCACTGACACTTCTGTTGTGGCTTAGCAATTACAAAATTTTTTGAAACTGGGTATGTGAAAATAGTATGTGCTCTGATTATTTGGTGCAGTGCATGTGTTCACTATATTGAACATTTTTGGGGATCTCCTACTACATGATAGGTTTATTAATATCTCCTGTGTTTATTAAATTTTGCTCTATACATATTTGAGGCTATTTTAATAGGTGTATAGATAGAATTGTTATACCTTCCTGTTAAATTTTTATCATTATGTAGATGCTCTCTTTATTTAATTTTTTTGTTTTGTTTGAAGCTCATTTTAAAAATGATATTAATATATTTTAACATCATTTATATAGGTTAATATTTGCCTGGTATATTTTCCCATGTTTTCAGTCTTTCATGTCTTTATGTTTTAGATATGTCTCTGGTATTGCTGGATTTTATTACTATTTTAAAATGCATTACAACAGGGGCGCCTGGGTGGCTCAGTTGGTTGGGCATCTGACTTTTGATTTCCATTTGGGTCATGATCTCAGGGTCATGGGATTGAGCCCTGTGTGGGGCTCTGTGCTTAGCAGGGGGTCTGCTTGGGATTCTCTCTTTCCCTCTGTCCCCCCCTCAAATAAATAAATAAATCTTTTAAAAAAATAAAATGCATTATAACAATCTCCAGTGTTTAACTGGCAGATTTACATTTATTATGATTGCGATATATTTGATGTTACCACTATTTTACCTTATATTTTGTCTCACTTTTTAGACTTTCTCTTCTCTATTTTATTGTCCTTTTTTAGTTGGTTAAATTTTGTTTCCTTATTCCACTATGCTATACCTCTGGTTTGGAAGCTATAACAAGACTCCCAGCCTAGCTCTTAAACTTAATATCCTCTTCTTATTCTTGAGTATACTACTTAACTACATTTCCCATCCTCCCTTGCTATTAAATATTACCATGTGATTGAGATCTAGCCAATGGAATTTGAAGAGAAGTGATGTGTGCCGTTTTGGGGCCAAGACTTTTAAGAGTGCCTGAACCTCATCCATATGCTTTTTCACCTCTGGTTTCTGGATACAGAAGATGATGATACTCAAGGATTGGTGGAGTCATAGGATGGAAAGAACCTGAGACTTTGAATCTCTGTGTGGGGGAAAACCACTTGCCAACCAAACATTAGACTGTTTTGAGAAATACTATGCTAAGCCAGTGAAATCTGGGTGATTTGTTATGGTAGCTGGTATGTTCTTGAGTAACGTAGAAGTTGTACACTGTTTTTATTCTTTTAGTGATCCCCTTGTCCATATATAACTAGCAGAGTCTAAAGTTAAACCTGATTTTAAACCCATTCCCCATAATACAAGGATCTTAGTACACAATTCCAGTTGCCTCCCTCCTATCCTACATGCTCTTTTTTTAACCCTAGACATTATTATTGTTTTGCTTTGCCTTCATTTTACCATTTTATTTCCTTGCTTTCTTTTCACTCAGACTTGCTTTCTAGAGTCATTTTCCTTCTTGCAGTATGTTCTTTAGAAGTTCGAGTGGGTAAAACTCTACTGGTAATAAATCCTCTTAGTTTTTACCTGTCTGAATATGTCTTTATTTATCTCTTGTTCTTTTAAGTCTAGGTTGATGGCTATTTTATGTAAACACTTCAAAGATATTTTCATGAACTTTGGCCTTAATTTCTTTTGAAATCTGTTTTGAGCCTAATTGTCATCCTTTGTTAGATGTTCTACCTTTTTCTCTTTTAAAGTTTTATCTTTCTGCTTCATGTTCTGCAGTTTGATTATAATGTATCTAGGTGTGATTTCTTTTTATTTATCCCCTTAGTATTCATTTTGCTTAATGTATTTATTTACACATTTTAAAGATTTGGACAAATTGGATATCTAAAAAAGGTCAATCATTTGATTAATTTCCATAGAGAATGCATTATTTTTCATATAAATTTATTTGCAAATAAACAAATCAAGATACATGTGTTAGTATGTATATATTATACTGAACATGATATAAAAAGTAGGAGCAAAAACAAATACATGTATTTTTTTATATAATTTTTTTGGACATTTACAAAGGTGCATAATATCAAATTCACATTTATATTGACCAGTCCTATGGAAAATTATAGCACATAAAAAAGTTAAGAACCTGGTGACAACATTCTTCTCTATGTAGATTATATGCAATTCAGAAGGAGAGCCTTATTATTAATATAACCAGGAGTGTTAAAAATATTCATTTGCCTGTTTTCTAAGAATTAGGCCTTTATTTATGGTTTAAAGTGTTGAAAGCTACGGTAACCTGACAATTTCTGATTATAGAGACCAAATGAAAGGTGGAGACAGAGGACCTTGTTGTGGACCTTTCCATAATGTAATTTACCTTTTGCTCCAGTCCAAAAACATTGCTTTGTAGAAAGGGTGGAAACTCTTATTAATGCAATAATTTTGGACCAGTTGATTTTTCTAAAGCACTATTATGAAACTTTTTCATTTCTCCTGTCAAAGGAGAACATTCTGATTTGAGGGTCACTTAGTATTTAATAGTCCACTCGTGTGTATCAGTTGTATTATACAGCAAAGAAAACAGTTGAAACAACTGAAACTTTTAATATTTCCTTTTGATCAGTGTCCTAAAGTCAAGTGCCAACTTTTAGTCATATTTTGAAAGGATATAATATTTAACCAAAAATTGCTTGGAGAAATTTTATCATTTATTCGTTGTAAAAGTACTAGGCCTGTTTAATTTCTGGTTTTAATACAGAATGTTAATAATTTTATATTGAAAGGTTTATTCCCATTCCCACCATTCCAGATGTAGTTTGCTCTTTATAAAACATGATACAGCAAGCATAG